TACATATATATATATATATGCGCGTGCATGCATGCATGCACGCAGGTAGGCAGGGAGACAGAACTACAGACAGACAGCAAACAGACTCTCCTCGCAGCTAGACGAGATGCCGGATTCAGGGTCCTGTCAGAGGCTTAAAACGATTCCAGAGTTTCGGAACTCCACAAAACCTGAACCCTAAACCCTGAGGCTTTCCCCCGAAGTGCTAACCAAACCCCAAGCCCGAGGATCCCGACATCAAGTGGCACTGGAAGAACTTGAATGCGCATGCAGCCGGGCAGCGATTCATGTCTCTGTCAGAACTCTGAGGGCAGTGCAGTGCGCTGATCAGTTACAGAACATAGATTTCTGCCTACGCCTTAATCTTATGCTGACAGGCGACGTCCATTGAGTCCGTAATTAGTCTTTGCTTTGCACGGCGCATGCTCTGACATCTTCCGAACTACACCGCAGGACAGCAAGATCAGACGCACCATACAGTCGGGCTACGATGCGTGCATTGGGAGCATGTGTGCGCCTGTGTCTGTGTGTGTGTGTGCGTCCTAGTTGTTGACATCCTGGGCCATGTCGGTTGAGCATTGGTGCTCATTCCGACTGGCACTGTTGGCGGAATGGGCTGATGCGACATGCACCTTCAAATTCACCGGGGCTACAATACAAGCGTGGGTTCTGGCTTCACTTTGTCTTTGGCAATTGAATAATTTCTGGAAGTACCTTGGCTAGCTGTACTGTGGTCGATGTTCAAATTTAAGTCGGCCAGATTAACAAGCTGTGACTTGATTGTTAATCTGTTGAGACGACCTGCGATTCCTGGCAATTCCTGAAACCCCAATGAAAATTCAAAAACAGTCAAAAATAGACAACAGTGTCATAAACAAAGGCGAAAACACAGTCAGCAAAAGTCAAGAAAGCAGACGCTATGACGTTGTTGTTTCTGACTATTTATTGACTTTCCTGACTGCTTCTGAATTTTCTGAGTTTTCCGGCCTGCCCCCGTTTCGAGACACGGATTCCGAGATTCACTTGTTTCTGCGTTTTCGCCTGTGAAGGCAAAACAAGCTGAGGAGCGGTCGACTTAACTTAAGTTTACATGAATTTTCATGTGGTAGAAAAATTGATCTTTTCCCCTCACACCCTTCAACGTTCAGTCCCGACGATTTCAATCCAAGTGCAAAGATTCCTGAAGCCGATGTGCGCCTTCCTAAGCTCGTCGACACGCCGACGCCACAACAGGGTTTAGTCCGAGGTTTGGAGTTCTACGTCCTTGTCTCGACTTATATGCAGGAGCCTGTATGTGTGCCAGAACTAACATAGTTGCAGGATTAAAACCGCATGCGAATCGTTGAGGCCAAGATACACACAAGATACTCAGCCCTCGAACATAAACACCACATCCTAGATGAGCCGAACGATGAAGGCCAAGTCCTCACCAATAGGACCCTGTAAGAGACAGCTCGTGGGTGGTCCCAGGTGCAGCTGAGCCCAACCTATCCACTTCAAAATGATTTTCTGCAAGTGCGGACAGAGGACGATGTAGGAGCCGGCCTCAGTGTTTTCCAGGTTTAGGACATGCTGGATTTGGGGAGGGCGGCCATGGCGTCGGCCAGGTTCCAGGGGTACGTGGTAGGGCCAACTCAGGGCCGCCTGCGGCTTCAGTGTTGTTTCGCATTGTAACATTCGAGGGAGTGTGACCAAACGCGGCTTTGGCTCCAGACGCGAAAAGAGTCGCACACATGTACTCAAAGGCTTTGATTCTTTGATGTTTAGAGCCAAAATCGGACGGGGCACTCAACGCATCCAGGCCGGCGCATAAATGTCGAGGTTTGACGACAACAGCTGCAAACACAAAAGTCCTCCGACGTGCAGCCTTGCGGATGTTGATGCTAGACATAGGTTAGGGCCATCCGATCCGGAGGGCCTCCTGTTGCGCAGCTTTTTAATGTTCCCAGCAACCACTTTCAGGAATGAACCCACCACTCCACCTGAAGTCAGTGACTCCTGCAATCACCTTTCCAGATTGCTAGATCAACCACGTATAATTTTGAGTTACTGTAGATTGAGGATGAAGAGGTTCGGGCTTGGAGCTCCAGCCAAACTACTAAGATTCAAGGAGCCCAGCATCTCTGACAGACCTTTAATCGCCCAGAACTCCGAACCTTGGACCCCAGCAGCAAGAGGCTCAACGAATGTCGCGGAAGAAGTAAGTACTTGTGCTTGGTATTATTGCGTTCGCTATTGTGCGTACGCTTTCACTCCATACGATACCATGTTCGCTATTTTGGCATCATGCAGCGACGAGTCCTTACAGGCTTAGGGGTAAGGACTCTGCAGACTCTCCAAACTTTCAAACCCTGACCGTGATTATGATTGGAACCCCAACCAAGTGGCGCTGAGGAGCTGTGCCACGCCCCGTGGGGCACGGCTGGAACTTGCACCGTCTCTGAACACAGCAGTCAGAAGAAGTTGATACGTGCAACGCTTTAAACTGTACAGATTGTTTCTGTCGTTGTTTTCAAACCTCATGAAGTGGTGAAGGAATAGCCGCCTGCAGTACGTCTTCGGAGAGTGTTCAAAACTCATTTCTTATATGGAGCTGCTAGGTACAACCTACCACCTTGATCAAACCCGGTTTTTAGGTTCATACTTCATTGGAATTCCAAACCCTCAACCCCAACCAGGGACTTGCATGCTGGGATGGAGGGTTTAACGCAGGCCACTATTTTGTGCCGAAAACCAGGCCATGTAACTTAAATACAAAGCTCTGAATCATTAGTAACAGTCAGAAAATTCCCATGAAGCCCAACTCTACTCAGAAAGGCCCGATGTCTTTTGAAGGCCGTCAGTCGTTTGAGCCTTCATAGAAGTTAGTGTCTGAGTCTTAGCGTATATACTTCAGTTTGGATCTGGGCTTTAGATTCAGGGCTTCGAGCGTGGGGGTGAGTGAGACGGCTCCGGGTATAGGGTGCCGAGGATGTTGGCGTTTGGGGTTTGCGGTGTTAAGGCTTCTCATTGGCAGGGTTTTTGAGTTCAGCCGTTCGCGGTCCAGGTTTCCGGGTGTAGGCTTAGGAACTGCTTTGAAAACCGCAGAGCAAAAGCCATTATCAGCAGCAACATGTCATTGCCGTTTTCTTTATCGTCAGGTTTGAAGTCGTGATCATCACTGCTGCGATCATTATCATCACCGGCAGCAGCACCACCACGAACACTGTCGTGACCAGGGCCATCAGCATCATCATTTTCTTGACCAGAACATCCGTTGTGCCTCACGCCACTCGAGCGGTTAGTTTGTACCACTGTGAGCCACTACAGTATGCTCTCGTATCAAACGGTTGTTGCCAGCACAACCCTCAAAGGAATGAGTGCTTGGCCCTGAGCTCGGGGCCCTACATACCCGCCAGCCCAGTTGAGCATTCAAAGTTCCATAACTTCCTAGGTATGGCATTCCTGGCGACAGCTCGTCGCCAAGTCGGTTCGTGCGACGCCAAGCCAAAGACGAGTTCCAGACAGAAAAGGCTGTTGTCTTCCATATGTTTTTTACTGTGTCTCCATGGTAGCTGCCCTCAGCCATAGAAATCTTTCGGCATGTGCCTATGCTTGCAATCTACCATGTCTGCAATAGAGGTACCTGGTGCACAGTGGTGTGATGTTTCAAAGAGATGTTGATTTCAACACCATCTCGATCCAACGAGTCGTCCCAGAGCAGGTTTGAACCAGCAAAATAGAGTTCGTCAGCCCCACAGTTCCCGCCTCCAATCATGTACAAAGTTGTAACCACCAAGAGTTTCGGGGTGAGTTTTCAACAGCTAGTGGCCCGGCTGTGATGTAAACTGATTCGGTACCTGCCCAGCCGAGGACTCTTCTACCTGCGCGGCTATGGCATGAAGGCGAATCCTCCCAAGAGCTTCGAAGATGCGGTCGTCCTCGGAGACTTTGCACAACCTTGAAGCCCTGATGCTGAGCCCGTACATCGAAACTCTTGGAAAAAGCCTCTCTAACCTGCACCCTTCAGTCGAATTTCGAATCCCTGAATCCGAGAAGCCTTGATACTCAAGCGTAGCACTCTCCTAGTTTGCCAAAATGATCTAGTTTCCTCAAGTGGTGTTTGTGGGTTCCGGGGGCTTAGGGTGTATGGTTTACGGCATGGGCAATGCCGACCCCATCTCAAAGTACTTGTACTTGTACGCTGGCAGTGCAACTGCACTCTCGTTTGTGTGTTGTTTGTTTGCACCTGCTTCATGTCAACCCCAAAGCCTCGAAGAAACCCTAAACCCTTGGGTTTGTCCTAAACTGCCCCGGGATCCCAGTTGCAACCGCCGAGATGCACGGACTTGGAACCGAAAAAGCGAGCTCCCTTCAACCCTAAACGCCTGGGTGCAGAGCCTAGACCTCACACTTTCTTTAGCCTAAACCCTAAACCCGTAAACCCTCGACCCTATACCCGAAAATTAAACACCCCGAAACCTCTAACCCCTAAGATACACGTTTTTTTCAGTACTAAACCCGGCCTATTATAGTCATGAGCCCTCCTTAGCCTCCAAAGGGCCTAAAGCAAGAAAAGCATTCGTGGCTAGGAACTGCTCTCCTCAACAATGTCTTCATCCCGTTCCTCGCCTGCGCAGGGCTCGTGGCGTGGAGCCGAAGTTTTCCTATAAGGGTTCCTTTAAAGGGTTCCTAAAAGGGATCTTCCTTTAAGGGTTCTTTCAAAAGGGTGCCTCTCAGGGTTCGAGTTTGGAGTTCTTGCCAGATCACTGGGCCATCTTGGACCTGAAGAAGGCATGGCTCTGGTGGACACAGCACGATTGCCAGCCGACTCATGATGCTTTTAAGCTGCAACCTCGACGCTCAAAACCAAACTGCAATGGCTCCTGCCCGAAGCCGGTGGACAACGACTCGTCGCCGGTAGTGCCACCGACTACTGCAACGATGCCGTCCAGTCTCTGTGGGCCGGTTGGGGGAAATGTGGTTGGGACTTCGATCGCAACGCCGTCGATGACAAGGGTGAGATCTTCGTAGTTGGGGTCCATCGCTACTTCCCTCGATGCAGCACATTCCCTCCGGGCTGGCTTTGTCGGTGGCGGTGAGCATCAAAACAAAGACCGTGTTGGGCTGCGTGACCGAGATGCTGGAATCATGACCGCCTGGCCATTTACCTCGCGGCGTGCAGCATTGTTGAGATCCTTGAACAAACAAATCCTGAACTCCTTAACTCCCAAACTCTCTAAAGCCTCAACCGCAAGCCCTAAACCTAACGGCCCTGAACCCTAATGAAAGCCTCAATGTTACGAGCTTCAGGTTTGGCTCTGTGGCAGCGGATCCCAGATCTCCCGGAGACGGACCAGAGCTGACCGACTACGGCGTTTTGAAGTCCCCTCAGGACACTCTTGGCTTCTGTAAGGTTTGGAGGTTCGGGGGCTTAGGGTCTGAACCAGGTCTTAACATGTAGGATTTAGTCACACATGCCTTCGAGTTTCATGTCCTTTGGCAGTACAGGGATTCTGGGCTGGATGTCGAGTTAACAGTGAGACCCCACGCTTGAAGGTGTTTTTTGTAGTGGGGCTTGTGGTCGTTACAAATTGCAGGGCCTGGACTGGCGAGGGCTATCTTGTTCCAGGGTTGTTGATGCAGGATTGTTAAGGCGGTGTCTTCGGGTACCAGGGTGGAAGAGGTTATAGTGCCAGGTCGGCTTCATACGATCACAGGCAGATACATAGTCAAAAAGGGTATTGATTACACAGACATGTACACAATGTTCAAATCGATAAAGCACCCATCTGTATACATGCTTGTAAGCATACGCCCTTGTATACTTGCACACACGACACTACACACAGTGAGGGATTAGAGCTCCTGTATCCAGGAGCGAGTGATGCTGATTCGAGGCTGAACAAAAAGATTAGTCTCGAATTCAGGGGCTTTGTTTTTTTGCGGCTTGGGGTTGATACTGGTTGGGCTCTTTGCGGGGCGATTTCGGGTTCAGGGCCAATAAGCTTTGGATTGGCTTTCAACAGAGGGTATTCGGCTTTGGGTGCTGGGTCCAACTGGTAGCTTGGGAAACAGTGGAAGCAGAAGCACTGATTTACGATTGGGGGGGGGGGGCGGGTCGGGGGACTGGCTCTGATGCTGCAGTGGTGATTCGAGGCTTTGGGCTTAGGGACTTATGAGTTCCTAGGCCCCATGGAAACTACAACTGTGCCTATGTGACTGTAGAACCCCAAGCCTGATCGTGGCTGGAAGCCTGCAGCCCCACACGCGAAGCTCGAACTTCTTACACGTCTTACCATACGTCCTGTGCTGCAGGACTCATGATTCCAACCGTTCAGGGCTCTGGGTGCCAACCACCCAAACCTTCCAACCTGCAGACGTTGTAAGAGTTGGGCGCTCGTTGCCTTTGCCAGGATCGCCGAAGCTTATCCTGACCGTTGGTGAAGTACGGGTGAATCGTAGTGCCCCAAGACCCACAACCTTGTGTAAACTGCAACGTATTCTGCGCGTGATGCTGCATTGATTCCAGTAGCTCAGCGCGTTCGTTTCAGTCTCCTCGGAGCCCAGGGGCGCTTGTTTTCTGATCCATTTAAGTGGTGTTGCAGCAGAAAGAGCAGACAGAACAAGGAGATGGTAAGGCTCCTGCATCACAAGAGTTCAGGAACGTTCAGGGGTCCCGCCTGATTACCAGAAATATGGAAGTTACGGAACCCTTACTTCACGCAGAGCTCGAAAGCTTTCTATTCCAATTTCTAAAGCCTACATAAAGGGCTGACAGGGGTTTATACCCAGCTCCCTAAGCTCATAGGCAGCACCTGTATGGAGGTTACAGAAATTCTCAGTGGCGGAAGATTGACCTGAAGCGAGTGGACTTCTCTCAAGCCAAGTCCTGGCTTCTAGAGGATGGAACTCTCGGCATCAAGGCGCCGCCCCTTGCAGTTTGCTTGAGAATTCAGTGGTCCGGTTATGTCCTCCTTCGCCGGTCGTATCCGAATGTATTTGACAAGACTGATTGTGGGCCTGAATGGGCCTGACAAGTCGGAGGGTGGCTTCCGTAGCTTGCTCGGTGGCGCAGAGGCTTCTGCTCCATGCGCAGGGAATGTTCACAGCTACGAAGTATCAGGGACCTGCGAGCTCGGGCTGGCCACGACTTCTTAGAGCGAAACTTACCACGAGCCAACGCATAGAACCTTGGGGCGGCCAGCGCTCTGAACGTCGAGGTTTCAAAGCAGGACTTTTGGAGATTTGCTGCATAGGACGTCTAAGGATGATGAGAGAGACGTTTTTGGGCATTCTGCTGAGGGATGATACAATTTCGGGCCACAGGCCTTGGCACGAGCTTCTGAATTCGGTGGTTCAGGCAGAGACGCACGTGCCCAGAAGTCCCAGGGACAGAAGACTGTAGGAGCCTCAAGGGGGGCTCTTAAGACTTCATGTAACTCTTGGAGTCTCGGGAGGCTTAGAGGGTGTACCATGATCTCTGTTCCTACTCTTCATACAAATTATGTACATGTACAGGGTCCCCAGTGTGTAGGGCTCGATGGAGAGCAGATCCAATTGGCTGCAGGATGTAACCTGTTCCCCTGGCACCTGCAAGCCATCGGAGCCAGGGCATGCCTCTTGGACAAGACCTCCCAAATCACATTCTTCAAGTCTGCAATGACAACTATATGGGTAGGTTGGCTTTGTTTTGCCCTTTGGCGGGCAAAAATGCTCTCGACTCAAATTGTAGCTGAGAATCGTTCTGCCCCTAACCTGTGTCGTTGCTTCTGTCCCCTGAAAAGGTGCTCATTCTAGGAAGAGTGTAGCAGTACAGATACCCATGAATGCAGGACCCAAGTTGGGATGAGGCAGGGGTTGCAGCGTACGACAGTGAGCAAAGTTCCTGAACTCTTTCTCCCGAATTGTCTTCAGAAAACGCAAAGCTAGCCTGCTGCTCCGATTTCTGAATTTGCTTAGCCAAGAGGCCGGGCCATCGGCAGATGTCTTTGTAAAGCACTCCAGAAACCTCGTTCCATCTGCGCGAAGCGCATCATTCCGTCTGTCTTACAACCTCAGGGCTTAGAGGGTGCAGGGTTCAACCGTTTCCCTGATGATAGTCACAATCCCTTTGTTCCCTTGTTCTTTGTCCATCTCTTTTCCAGTTCAGCCCGAAACCTCTCAATCCCGGTGTGACTAAGGTCCCAATCCAAGTCTGAGCTGTATGCATCGCCGGAGTCAATCTGTGGCCGCCCTGCAAGAGCTCAGGGTGCATACATCTCGAGACCTCCGGCTTTGTACAGAATTAGTGGTCAGGGTCTGAGACAAGAAGTTTAGGGTGTTGACGCGCTGTCCCCTTTCCGTGAGGAGGAGAACGCAGTGCACCTAGCAAGAGTTTTGATGGCCCATGAAGCAGAAAAGCGTCAAGCCAGAGGGACTTGAATACCATGTCGGTTTTGGAGTTTGGGCTCTTGTGGGGTTTTTGTAGGGACAAGATACTGAGCATGGCTCAACAGGCCCACAACTCCTGAATTTAGGTATCCTGAAAGCTCCACTGTCGCTGTGATAGGCCAGGTTTCGTAGGGTGTCGGGGGTAGGAGATTTTGCGAATCACAGGTTAAGGTCTTAGTTGCATTGCATGGCTGGATCATGCTATTCCATGCTGCCTATACCCGTCTTGTGCCTGGGATCTTTGAGAAGGAAGCAAGGCGTTTGGGCTCACATTCTTCTGATGCAGACGGGGCGTGTATGTTTACAACATAACTCAAAGTTCTAGCGTGTAGAGGAGCCACTGAAATCGGGGATGGGGGCTTGGTTCAGGAGGTGGAAGAATTGGTACCAAACCCCCACACGTCTTTGAACCCCAAAGAGCGCCCATTATTCCGAGGCGTGCAAACCTGAACTACCAGGAAAAGCGCTATGCCAAGGACCGTAACTTAGTGGTTTAAGGTTTATGAGTTGGGGTTGAGGTTTAGGACTTGATTACGGATCGTGGTTCGGGGTTTATGGTTTATCCGTTGTGGTTGAGGGTTTGGGGTTTACCGGTTTGGATGCATGTATGGGTCCGGTCTAGTGTTTTAGTTTTGCTTTTAACAACATCAGGTTCCGGGAGGGTTTCCCAGCAGTGGGATACTCACGGGATAAACATGAGGATCCCCTGCACACATACGCACACATACATGTACATACATGCATGCGTACATGCGTACATACATACAGACGTGAGGATGTATACCATGATAACAACTGTTGATGCTTTTCAGTCCTATAGTTTTGGGACTACGAACCGAGACTACCTGTGGCGCATGTGTGTATATGAACTGTATGAATGGTTATAGACACATGCATGTGTCTAGCTAACATACTGGCAGTGGCACAAGGACCTACCGACTCCAAGCCCTTTACCCCTAGACCACAAGTGAGCCCGACACCCTAAATCCCAACTATCGCATGCTCGTGCTCGGGATGTCGAGTTCCAGGATGTCTCAAGGATTGTCATAGAAGAGTTCAACAATAGCGAAGAGCTGAAACATTTCAGGTCCTATACCTCAAGCGCCATGTTCAGGATGGAAAAGCCTACAACGCAGATGGGTTTCAAAAGTACTACGGCGACAACTACTTGTGCCGCGGCTTCGATAGACTGGGGCTACAAAGGCTTTTCTGGGCTAGGTAGTTTTGCAGGGATATATATTGTATGTGCATTACACATATATACGTAGATCTATATTAACATATATATATATAGATATATTATATATACA